TCAGAGGTGGGTGTTCCATTGCTATTAGAGAAGCAGTATTTGGAGAAGTCTTTCAAGGACCTTTTCATATTTGATGCCAGTCCAAATATTGTAGGTGGCAAGTGTGGTTTTTAAGGCCACTTCATTCCATAAACTTGCTCTTGCAGGAGTTCTTATTTATTATTAAGCTAGACTTATGATAGGGAAATAAGCCTGGTACAGCAAACAAAGTTAGTATACTTCCCATTATTTCTTATGAAACTAATGAGTGATTTCTGAGTTCCAGTTTAGGATTGAATGTAAGACAGATTTACCTGGGCCCAACCCTACATGGGAGGCACTAATTAAAAAAACCTGATTCAAGAATAGAACTCTGGCTGGGCATGGTGGGAGTTGATACATTGTGTCAACTTGGCGAATCAGCTCCCGGCAGTTGTCAGCATGGGGCCTTAACCCTGCAGGTGGGCAGAGCCCAGGAATTGAGGAAGGCAGGAAGTCCCCTGCCTGGTTTCCTGCCGCCCCCACCTTGCTTCAGTGGAGAAGTCTCAGTCTTCGGAGGAGGAGCTTGATCTTTGTGGACGCGCTCGGATGTTCACTGTGGAGTGCTAGAAGGAAGAGAGAGGCTTGCTGGACGCCGCTGCAGCTGCTGCTCCTCCTCTGCTCTTCATTGTTTTCTGCTGCATGAACTGCTGTTGTTTGCTTTGGAGTCAGCGGAATATGGACTGAACCCTCCAGTAACTGTGAGCTAAATAAACTTTTCCTTCCTTCATTTTGAGTGTCAGGTATTTGTCCCAGCAACAAGTAAAAAGTAACTAAGACAGAATTTGGTACCAGAGGAGTGGGGTCGTTGCTATGGCTATACCTGACAATGTGGATTACAATCTTTTGGGAATGGCTTATGGGAAGAAATAGGAAAGGTTCAGAGATGTCGCCTACAAGCGAAGCACTGAAACAGCTTCGGCTGTTCTGTTTGGGAGATTCTGGGCAGAGCTCAGACCAGAATGCTGATAGGAAGCCCGAGGTTTCTGCTGGGAAGAAGGATGGCATTGGTTGTTGGACTGCAGATGATGTGTTATGGATTGGCAAAAAGTTGGTCTGCATTTTGCTCCTGTCCAGAGACTTTACCTGAGACAGAAATTAAGCACAGTGGGCTAGTTAATCTTGAAAAAGAAATTTCAAAGCAACCAAATGTTGGGGCAATGGCGTGGTTGTTGGGGGCTTTTAGCCAGATTTATGTTAAGAATGAAGAGCAAAGAGCCCAAAAGGATGATTTAAAATGTTGTGAGTTTGAACAGAAAGGAAGCGTCAGAAAGGCTGTAGACTGTGAAGACAAAACTGAGAGTATCTCTAGTGCTGAGAAGGACAGGAGAGTAGAAAAGATGTCCTGAGGGCATCACAGGAGGTGGCAGGTTCTTGCTCTTTGCAGCCTCAGAATCACAAGGGTGAAGAACTTTGCTTTGAGAAAAAAGCCGCAGAACCCCATGTTCCAGAATGGAGGCAGCAGCCACACCAGGTTCCAGAATGGAGGCAGCAGCCATGCAAGAT